ACAGCCCACTTAGTGTAATATGATCTCATGTTATGGTTACCTGCGACTGATAACATTGTATACAGGTCGTAAGTGTAAACATAAAAGGTCTTAAGGTATCACAATATCACTGTATTTTAATTTCATGGGTATTATGTTGGAGTATTATCAATTTAGTAGTCGCTTATTTGACAATGTCGACAGGTCAAGTGAAAGTTTATTCGGTCACTGATCGCTGGTGTGAGTTGTTCGTAAGCAAAATTCATAAATTGGATTTACAAAGTAAATTACCCATAGAACCACGGCCTACTACTGCAGCCAACCAATCCTTGGGGCAAGGAGTTACATGCACAACCGTGGCTGAGCGGATTTGTGTCGAGGGCGGTGCTGGTTAAGCAGGTGCCCTGCCTGCAATTAATTTTGTGCAACGCCAATTGAATGCTGAGAGTGCACTCGAGCACCAACCCTACGGTCAAAGAGCATAATTTAAATTCCTAATTAACAGTCAAATAAATTGTGCCCGCTACCAGCGTCGTCTAAGCAATTTAACCGTTCTACCCGATTTTATATCCAAAATGTCCATTAATTTAATGACAATTGCTTGCCAGAGACATTAAGGTGTAGCAAAAGAGTGAAAGAGAAAGTGAGCTAAGTAGTATGTTGAACTCATATCAGTTAAAAAAAAAAAGTCATGGCGTTTACCTATTATATATTAAACAAATGTATATAAATGTTGTTCAATTTATGTTATTGCTTAAATCAGTATCACCCTTGCGGGACCACTACTCTAGTGCAGTAAGTTTTCTGATACTTAAGGTACGAGAACTTATAACGTCGCTTTATCATCGCCATTAGATAATTTAAATTTAATGAAATAAAATTAGCTAGATGTACTGTATAACATAAGTGCAGAGAAGCTATTCTGCAAACCACTAATGTGATTCTTTTGAAACTTTTGAATCATTTAAGTAGTAACACTAAGCATAAAATACATGTATTATCTATTTGTATTTATGTCAAACTAAATAATAATTCGAAATGTTTCGGACATAATGCGAAGCTGTAATCCGTATCCATAAATCGAATTGTTAAATTCTTATCACTTGACGCATTCGATTTTTCGCCGCTCACGGTTTCGGTTACTTCGCTGTCACGAGCAATGTGGTAACGCCATCTGCCGGCCTGGCAGCTGCTGTGCTGCTTGGACAAAAAAACATTCAATTAGTTTGATTTACACATCTGAAGTTATGCACTCTATCTTTTGTCTCTCTCTATCTTTGTCTGTTTCTCGCTCTCTTGCGTTCGTTCGCTTTGTCCCTTTGTGAAACTGTTGGCATTTCCGTTTCCTCTGTTTAACAAGGAACTTTTGGCATCAAGAGAAACAACAACAGCAACAGATGAAGCAGCCGTTGCCAGAAACTTGTTCGCCTCTGCGTGCCAAAAAATGCAGCGCTTGAAGCCGCTTAAGGCGATCAAAATAAGGCACAAGCGGTTGTGCCTCTACATTTGCCACCCCTGCTGCTGTTGCTGCTGCTGCGACTCGACTGATGCTGCTGATGGTGACGCCTGCCGGAAACAGTTTGCTGCACGCTGTCTCAATATTAGTTTGGGCGGTAGCAAAACGCTTCCGGCAGCGAAATGGCAACGTTGCCGGTTGTTGATTTCGTTTGCCGTTACTGTGATGCCGCTCCAGTCGTCTGATGATTTTTCAATTTGCATTTGACATAGAGGCAAAATGTCAAAAACTAAATTGAAATGGCAAGGCTGCGAAAGCGAAAGCCAGGCTAGCATTGAAACTTCGAATTGTATGCAGTGCACAGCCTTGGCAGACCAGAACGAAAACTGATATGATAGCATCTTAGACTAGATTTTCAATTAGGTAATTGACAGGCAAACGTTTGAGTCTAGCTTAAAGTCATGTTTCTTTGCATGTTGTGAGGTGGAACGTGGCTTAAATGTAATCGTCATGTGATATGTAACAGACTAATGATATAAAATATAAACGAAATAGCACAAAAACTGACATCAAGCAAATTGGCCCGGTACCCTTTTATCTTAAGTACTGTAAGCCTCACTGACACTTCCGAAACCCACGCGTACAAAAGTAATGCGAAAAACGAACCGATGAGGCAAACATACCACGCAAGCATATAAGTTTAATTTTATTATTTTTAAACAATCCAATAACTGATATCAACACTCCCTTCAACAAACCACAATAGTCCATATACCAACATATACATATGCGTTCACCGTTATATACATCTATAATTCTTGTACTTGCACCTATTTTTCCCACTGACCGGCTGAACCGATTTTTGTGAAATGAACCACGTACGTAATGAAATCTCGGGAAATTTTTGTTTGTTTCACTTATTTGACGGGATGAAACTATTAAGGTCTCAAACTCAATGCTAAATGCCATTTTACGTAGCAGTCAGATTTTGGCTACTTCAACGATTCATGTAAGTTCGGGGCCTCAAAATGGGAATTTTAAGCCAAATTCATTGAATGTTGTAAGTGAATGTAATTAATAGTTTTAGTAGTCATTGAATTGGCTACAAAAAATTAGTTCATTTTGTCGTTGCTTATTGCGTATAATGAGAATTTGTATACCCTGAACCCATTAAAAATGGGTATAATGGTTTTGTGCAAATGTATGTAACAGGCAGAAAGAAGCATCTCCGACCCCATAAAGTATATATATTCTTGATCAGGGTCAATAGTCGAGTCGATATAGCCATGTCCGTCTGTACGTCCGTCCGTCTGTATGAACACGCACATCTCAGAGACTAAAAGACCTAGAGATTTCAAATTGGGAATATTGATTCTCGTATACCAGGCGCAGATCAAGTTGCTTTATTTTATCGATAAGTGCCTCCGTTTCTCGATTATCGGCAGAGCGCGCTTGCAGACCTGCTCACATTTTGGTGCAAAACTTTTAAATGGAAATTTTGCAATAAAACTGAAAATATTCAACAACTGGGTTCAGGGTAAATCGTAGTTCAAAAGTTCACTTCCAAACGCCCAGAAAAAGGCAGCCGAATGCAATACACAGTGCAATATACAGTTACTGTATTCAGGCTCTTTCTACTTTATTCGGAAGGGACTCAAAATTCAAGCCGACCATCAACGACTGGTGCAATGTGAAGACCACTCTACTACAGACAAGCAGAATCAAAACTGAAACAACTGTGCTAACAGTGCTGTGATCTATCAGCCACTGTTTGTGCCCCTCTGTGATGCTGTTGACCCCCCATTTCGACTACCGCCGCACAGTGGCGCCTTCTGACATTCTTCTTTTTAAAAATCATATCTCCTGAAGTAATTAAGATATTTTCAAATGGATTTAACATAAAATCTCTTAAACTTCAAAAAGTTGTCAAACAGGTGCTTTACCATAGACCAAACTTAAATTTTGTAAATTGTACAAGAATGTCAGCATGTTATATAGATCCTCATTATAAATTCAAGCTGACAATCGGTTTGAAATATAGATAGCTTCTTGTGCTTCGATTGCCAATCGAAAAAAAAAATACCTTTTGATAGCGACTAAGAAGAAAAGCGATGAGTGCAATAGTTTACTTGAAAATCAACCTCTATTATGTTTTTGTTTCGAAAAATGTGTTCTTTTTTTGCAAAAGGTAAACTTTTTCTCATCTGTTGCACACAGATTGCCAATCCAATTCAAACTCAATTCTCTATTAAATTACACAACGTTCCCATACAAATGCAGATTTTTGAGAAGCTTCAGCATCAGGCGCCCTTGTGCGTCGAGTGCATTTCACCTAATTTTCATGCTCATGATTGGGTTGTCGTTTCTATTCGTCCTGGTCATCGTGGTTGTCGTTGTCTTCGTCGTGCTAAACGTCAACTCTTGACATTTTGTCTAAGCTGCAATATACAAATTTCATTTATGATGAAGTCACTTATCTTTTTTCCTTCGGTTTAGTGCTGGCCACGCAGATTTTATACAGTTACAATTATAATTAACAAGTAGATTTGCGAAAGTCGTATTTTATTTTGCGACACGTTGAAAAAAATCAAACCTAAATATTTTGCTTAGATGTACAATATCCAGTTATTTCATTTCTTTTGCTGGCAGCCCCTTATGTACATTCGGTTTTTATAAACTTATGGAGATTATTATAATTATTTACCATTTTAAAGAGAATTAAGTTTTCGTGATGTGTAACACATTGAAGGAAATGTCTCCGACCCCATGAAGGATATGTAGGCTCCATCACGGAGTCGATATAGCCATATCTGTCAGTCTGCCCATATCTTCCACAGCTTTTGAGTTATAGTCATCAAATTAGGAAAAAAAATTACAAGCAACCGCCTTCATTTATCGAAAAAAAATGTCTTGTTTTGTTTTTCAGCTAGGGTCACCAAATTTTGAATGTATATTACAAGGAACTCCCTTTAAATATCAATAAATAATCTTATGGACACGCCCGCTCTTGCCGCCAAAACCGATATACCTAAAGGTGCAAGCAAACATCTTACACAATTTTAATGCTAGTCATATTGCTGATAGCACCCTTCTAAATTATTGGCAACGCCCACCAAGCAGAAAAAATGTTCACGGCACACCCCTCCACTGACGCCCTTCCCCACCTCAATAAGAAGGTTCTTTATCACCCGTAATCAATTGATATATCGCTTGTATCTGTTGGATTTGTTAGATCCAAGCGCACAGTTTTACAGCGTATACAAACAAGATAACGATATGCAGGAATCACACTTTTATTAGTCTAATAACTATTGTGAAATTAATATTTGAGTACATGCGAACGAACGGACAATGCAAAACTTAGGATAAGCTAAACGAGGGTTGCCAGAATGTTACATTGAAAACATTTGAGTCACATTTGCAACACGCCCTCTCAAAGTAACAATTCTGTTAACCTTAAATACTAGTGACGCCCAATGAAGAGAGAGGCACTGCTTAGACCCTTCGTTAGGCCATCTGCTGGCATTTACTCCGTCTGCATGTAGCCAACCTGGATGTCGCCATTCTAGTGCTTCTGCTGGATGAAATGGTGGCGCACATCGATGTGTTTTGTGCGTGGATGAAAACCAAAGCCTTTAACCAATTTTTGAGCGCTTTGGTTGTCGTTTAGGAGCAGAACCGAATCACATCTTCTGCCAATCCTGTTGAGTATGACCTTCAAGTATAAGGCCTCCTTTGTTGCTTCGCTCATGGCCAAGTATTCGGACTCTGTGTTTGACAAAGCGACGGTGCGTTGTTTTCGTGCCTCCCAACTTATAGCAGCACCTGCTAATATAAACGCCTGTCCAGAATATGACCGTCTGTCGGTCAAATTTGCGCCCCAGTCAGCGTCTACGACTCCGTACAGATCTTCGCCTGTTCGCTTGAATAACAGGCCGAGTTGTTTGGTACCGCTTAGGTACCGAAGGATGCGCTTCGCCGTTTTCCAGTGTTCAGCCTTATAACATGACTGAAACTGACTCATGAAATTTACGGTGTACGCAATATCTGGACGGGTTGTAACTGAAAGAAACATAAGAGAGCCAATTAAGTTCTGATAGGGGTACTTCCTCATTTCGGCTTCATCGGCTGCTTCTGTTCGCTTCAAAGTACATTTCGCTTCTATGGGTGTTAATGCCGGCTTGCATTCAGTCACCCCGAATCTTTTCAATATAGCGTCGATGTACTTTTCCTGTGCAAGGAATATGCGATGCTCTTTGAGATCCTGCTTGACTTCTATGCATAGACAAGTTGTCACTGGGCCGAGATTTTTCATCTCAAATGCGTCTCCAAGGATTTCTTTGGTCTGATGCAAGCAATCCGAATGATGAAATCATTGAAGCTCTCTGGCACCTCCATATAAACGCTCTCTTCGAGCTCGCCGTTTAGGTAGCCTGTGACCATGTCCATTTGATGTATCTCCATATCAAGTTCCGCTGCCATGGTCACCAAAAGTCAGACTGATGTTAATCGAGCTACAAGTGAATACGTTTCATGAAAATCCTCTCCAGGCCTTTGTGCATATCCTTTAGCGACCAATCGAACTTTCTTTTTTCCTGAAACAGTACCAATGTCTTTTGTCCGAAACACCATTTTGCAACCTATAATCTTTCGATCCTTAGGGCGTTTCACTATCTCCCATGTTCCGTTGTGTACCTGTGCCAGAAACTCATCTTCAATTGCCCTTGTCCAACTGACGCTGTCCTTGTGGCTTTTCGCCTCTTTCAGTGTAGTTGGATCATCTGTCGCAGCCATGTATGCAATTTCGCATTCCTCGAATGTCTCGCTTGAACTGCTCTGCTTATCGTTGCTGATCACCTGAGATTGTGGTTGATATATTTTCCGTGGCCTACCACGCTGGCCTGTCTTCTCGATCTTGGGACGCCCTCTGCCACGGTGCTGCTCAACTAGCTTCTGCTTGGGTCGCTCAACTGAACTGTTATCGTCGCTGGTAGACCCATCACAAGGTTTACTCGTGATATTGATGTCGAAACCTACGTTTGAGTTTTGATCACGTTCGTAGAACTCAGCGTACTCACTTTTGAACCCTGGAACATTCAAGAACTTGACATCTTTGCTTACTATTACCTTACGCTTCTCAGGTAAAAATAATCGACATGCCTTCGACCACTATGTATTCTTCCGATCTTGATTCAAATTTACCCTTATTTGAACCCTTTATTAATGCATATACCTTCGTACCAAATAAACGTAAATGAGACACTGTAGGAATTGTCTTCGTCCAGTGTGGGGAATCTCGCCGGTTTTCTGCGGTAGCTTTATATACTTTAAAAGCTTCTAATAACTCTGATTTCGGTTTAAAAAAGTGAACTTCACAATAGCGCGAATAGTCTATAAAAGTAGCGAAGTATTTACATCCTCCCAGGAATAGCGTTCTCATTGGGCCGCATATATCGCTGTGAACTATTTCCAGTAGTGCTGTCGTACGTTTTTCGTTTCCACTTTTATAAATGCTTGCAGTTTGCTTTTCGCTTATGCAGATTTCGCATTTCGACAATTTTCCATTCTCGCACATTTTCATGCCGTAGGCTTTACCACTTTTAGCCATATTTTTCAAATCGCATTCATTCAAATGTCCCATTCTATAATGTCATAGATCAAGGTCGAATTGGCCAACATACATTACACTATTCACTTGATGCTCTTCGCCATTCAAGTATTACAAGTTACCGTATCTTTGCGCACGGAGCCAAACTTCGTTATTTTTCATAACAAGTGCTTCATTTTTCCGAAAATGAACTTCAAAACCATTGTCTGTGATTTTGGAAACCGACATCAAATTTTGGTGCAAATCCGATACGTAGAAACCATCTTTCAACGTTAAGTCAACTCGTTGCTGTTGTTCTTCACGATTCTCTTTATTTTCACGCGTTTCTGACTCTTCAAGAATTTTGATGCGAAGCACATCGGGATGGGGCAAGTCATCTCGTGCTTCCATCGCACATCTGAACATTTCATAACAACAACATACTAACAAATCATTTCCAATCGAGATACCTATTTCTTTCAATTTTTGTCACTGCGTCGATAAATTCATTTACATACGCGCGCGCACTAGCGCCCTCGATCATTCGAGACAATGCCACTCGTTTCAGCATTGCTTGCTTTTCGCACTGGCCCCTTTGATTGAAATGTCTCCTGCAATTTCAACCAGTATTCTTTTGCCGAATTACAATCTTCAATTATAGCCAATTCCGATGGGCTAATCGATAATAATATGTCCGCGCGCGCCTTCTCATCGTATGTTTTCCATACTGCTCGATCTGCCACATTTTCTGGGCAAATTTTCATTCCATCAACATATTGCCTAATATACACAACACTAATATAACATCTGCAGTTTCCACGTGTCATAGTTCTCCGCACACAGTGGCTCAATCTTAATTAATGTGCCAGCCATTTTTCACAGCTAAACTATTTATTGTCAACGTTATCTTATTTATTTATCACTGGGCCCATAACCTGTGGGATTTGTTAGATCCAAGCGCACAGTTTTACAGCGTATACGAGATAACGATATGCAGGAATCACACTTTTATTAGTCTAATGACGCAGTCAAAAACGGAATGGGTACAGAACTATTGTGAAATTAATATTTGAGTACATGCGAACGAACGGACAATGCAAAACTTAGGATAAGCTAGACGAGGGTCGCCAGATTGTTACATTGCAAAAATTTGAGTCACATTTGCAACGGTATCCGAGTATTCTGCAGTCGGTTACGCCCAACTACAATGTTCTTACTAGTTTTATGATGAAGTTTTTATTCGTACAGGTATTTCGGTTTATTTATACAGTCATGTATTCCATTGCACACATTTATGCCTGTTGACCATTTATTTCATTAATTTTATAATTTATTTTCCTCTCCTGACCAGACAGGTACACGAAGTACAAAATACAACGTTAATATTGAACCGTGTCCTAAAAGCCATTCACTGACTATATTTGGAGCTCCTATTGCACAATAAATTAATTTGTTTAGTTGAGCCGCGTTGGTTTTGAACGCCATTCATGACGGCCATATATCCAGATGAAGGTACTAGGCAACAACTGCGAAATCCATCGCAAATGTCGTATTCACATTTTAATTAATTTAACATTTTGTTGATATACCTAGGTGAATGTGGCACCAACTCTGCTTTCAATGATGACGTGCAGAGTAATGGCAAGAACTTCACGCTTACTTCAGCCCCGTACACAATATGATATTAAACCAGAGAGAACGTTGCAGTCAGGGTAACCGACTGTGAAATACTGTGATACTATACGCAATAAAAGCTGATAACAAGTAGCAAAGAATAGGGTGGGTGTAGCCAAGAAATATTTTCCAAGTTGCGGCTGAGTTTGGCGTGGCACATATCGATATTTGAAGAACATAGCTAACAGCCTACCCACCAAATTTTGTGACTTTTGCCTTAAAATTGGGAGAGATATGTAGCTTTATCGATTTTCTAGTCCCCTAGTGGACATAGCACTATGATATTAAACCAGAGAGAACGTTGCAGTCAGGGTAACCGACTGTGAAATACTGTGATACTATACGCAATAAAAGCTGATAACAAGTAGCAAAGAATAGGGTGGGTGTAGCCAAGAAATATTTTCCAAGTTGCGGCTGAGTTTGGCGTGGCACATGTCGATATTTGAAGAACATAGCTAACAGCCTACCCACCAAATTTTGTGACTTTTGCCTCAAAATTGGGAGAGATATGTAGCTTTATCGATTTGCAAATATCGATTTTATCGATTTCCTAGTCCCCTAGTGGACATAGCACTCCAATTTTTACACTTTATCTGACGCGGGCACACAGCAATTTATGTTCCAAGTGTCAAGGGTATCGACAATAGTTGCGTTCACACAGACGGACAGACAGCATGACGGACATTGCACAAAACCAATATACTATGATACCTTCGGTATCAAAGTATAAATATATATGTATGTTTCGGTGAGTCTTTTAGATGTGCAGCAGACCATAAAGCATACATACAAATGTATTTAAATCGGCCAAACAAAATTGAAAAGTTCTGAGCTACATACTGTTGGAATATAGTAATATTTATAGAGCACGTTTTTACTTAAAGCTACACGTATTGTTAATTATTGCATATTTAAGTTTATTCCGCAGTCGGATACGTCCGACTGCAACTTTCTCACTTGTAACATTTAAGTGTGCAAAACTGGTGTTTTAATTGATTAACTATATTGAACAGCCTTTTTCAGGGCCGTTCTCCTAGTCGAGACCTCTGGGCTAGAGCTTTCTTAGTTTGTATTTGTTGTATGTGTGCACTTGTTTAAAAGTATACAAGATATTTTATACTACTTATACATAAATCGATTAAGAATTTATCAAATTTGGGAAAATAAGATATAATTTATTTCTTGCCTTGCCGACGGCTTCTGACATTGAAAAATAATAGGAACAGCAGCACCAACAATAACTGCATTAGCTTGGCTCAGTTTGGTGGGAAATCCAATGTTTGTTTTTAGATTTTTTTACCACTTTCACTACACCGAAATCACCTGACCATGAGGCGAGACTTTGTAGTATGTGTATAAGCTTTGTCAGTTTTAGCAATTTGAAGTTTACAGGGTCACTGGGGAGCTCAGCAGCACATATGGCAAGAAAACTGCAAAAAAAAAAAACTTAAGGACAACTCTGAATACTACAAAAACCTAATCTGCTCAACAACTTACATTCGTTAGCACTGGGGACTTGGACCGTGGGCTTGGAGGAGGTGTGGTGGTGTATGTGCGTATGTTTGCTTGTTGAGTATTGTCCTGGGCAACGCTGACTAGCTTCGATTGGAAAACGACAGCCGACAAGTTTGCCAATAAAACCAATGCAGCCGACACACTTAAGTATGAACAAATAACAAACTAAATAAAACGGCAAAGATAGCAGCTTGGGGTGCAGTTCAGTGGGCGTAGCTCAGCACAACAGCATCAGCAACAACAACAACCACAACACCAATAACGATTAGAGTGGAATCTGGCTATATGAAAATCAACTTTTGCTTGGCAAGCCAAAATTTTTACTTAATTTTTGTTCC